GCCTGATCAGAATTTCGGATGGAACTTGATCAGTTTTTGATCGAGACCTGAACAGAATATCCACTTGGATTGCGGAGCTTATTGTGCCCCATAGTAACCATTACTATGGCTCCATGGTAGCCATTACCATGTTGGTAGTAATACTTACAAAACTTTGGTAACGTTTATTATGTGTGCATTCCAACATAGTAATCTTTACTATTTTATTTTCTCCGTGCAGTCAACAGTAATTTAACAAAACGACGCGTTGCGGCGTTTCCCTCAGGAGGTGACCAATCCAGGATTAAGGTTAGATATTCCATTCCCATTTATATTGTAATCAGCATCCCCAAAGTGTCTTAATCAACTGAATATAACTCCCTACAAATTGATCATCAAACGATCGAAACATCAACCAGTCAGTGGCATTTGATAGACAACAGAACGATCGGCTGTAAATTCATCAATTTACGTCACGTACCTGAGAGTGAGGAATTGTGCTTGGTGACTTAGTGTGCAATATACGCATCAAAGTGCCCAAACAATGTTCGTGTGGTTGAAACTACCTCTTGCACTACCTATGCTATATCTAGATGTGCTGGTGGAATATGGTCCTTACGCCTATCACGTGACGATATGTCCCCATTAAAATTCATAAGGACGGCTTGACTTCTTCCTCATTCCCATTTCACTGCCCGTCGACATGTGCAGAAGGGAGGATGCGCATCATATATTTATGAATGTACTTGCAGGAGGTACATTTACACCACCTTGAAAGTTCCTCTCCTTCGCACCTTGCTGTTTGTTTCGTTACTGTGAAAATGCTGACATTCTGGAGGATATTTTCGTTCAAGTTATTACGCTGATGTTGGTGGAACTTTTTGCTCCGGATGAAACTCAAAATTCAATAGCGAAAAAAGTGCAGGTCGCGCTGACGATAAAACAAATGGCGTCAGTGTGATGAATAATTTCCTATTTGTCTATACGGGCGCTTCGGTGTGCTCACATGAGACATGACAGCAGAATCTAGTGAATAGATCGAAGTTTTAAACGAGGCTGATGTTAGCTTTGGAATAAGAACGCTGTCACGTTTTTTTTTGCGGATAAAGAATTGGTGTTATGCATATTCAACATTTCGGTGGCACGAATATGTCCTTTTTAAGATTGACTTTACCTTTCCGATTCCTCATTTCTTTCTTTCGATCAGGGAAAGAGTTTGAAGAAAATCTTAGAGGAGGACTGGCGTTACATGTCTGATCAAGACCGGATCCGTCAACTTGATCAAGACCTGACCGGAATTTCCACTCGGGCAGTTAAGTCTGGCCATTGGGATCAATCTGCTCGATTCATACATGCTCGACTTGAAATGTTATATTATAATTATTAAATGCCATCGAAAAAGCAACCGATCAATTCCGGCCGAGTTCCACCAGTTTATATTTTTTTCCTGTAAACTGAGGCAATTACTCCATGTTTTGCTTATTGGAACTTTTTAATGATCCTCTTCATGCTATTCCCCCCCCNGCTCTTCATGCTATTCCCCCCCCCCTCTTTTCGCTCCCTTTCATGCTGACATGCTTCGTCGATCCACTAATAAGGTCATTCGAATTCAAGTGGTCCTTTGAATTAATATGAATCACATGCGGATTCCCTCGTAGCGTTTAAGTGCCTGATAAATCATCGCTATCGTAGATGTCTTTCGCTAGTAAATTTTCCGTCATGTATATATATACAACATAAACACTTAGCTTGAAAATCATATAGGAAGGATCCTCTGCTCCAATACCAACCGCGTCATCCACTTGAAATTTAATTTAAACTTTTCAAACTAGATGTAGCTATCTGACATGGATCGGTTTTGTATATGTAATCATGGAGAATCAATTCAATTCAGTGGCTTGAAAATATTGAAGAAATATTTTTTTGCGCGTTAGAAGAACACAAGTGCACTTAGAATCAGCTTAATTGTGGGTTTCAGGGATTCTTGGGGGGAATTACATTGCCATTATGCGGTAACCGTATTTATTCCTCTTGTTCCAATTTTTCAAGAGCATTACCCCGCTGGAAACAATCAATTCTCTCGTACGAGGAGGGTTGGAACGTAGCGCCAATCTTCCTCGGGAAAAGACTTTTCAAGCGTTTTCATAAATCTTTCTCTCCGTGTCAGGGGGCAATATTATTGTCTGCAACAAAGCAATGACACTAGAGTATAAATAATATGTCCGTTCATACCTCGGGTTTAATTTCATTCTTCAAGTGGACTTGAATCGAATTTATTCATTATGGAAGTGGAATTATAGAACAAGTTGTGGGATTATTTTTGAGGTGGGAAGAACCGGAGAGATTTTGTAATTAGATTTTGCAATTAAACCACGAGTGGGATCTCGCTTAAATTACTCAGGTGCTTCGTATATTCATGTTTTATAAGTTTTCGGGTGGTAGTTGCTGAACTTCCAGCCCATGTGGTTCGTCAGAGATGGTAAATGGTCAGTTCAATATGCCTGATTGATACACCGGGTTAATGAATATGTGTCGTTACATGTACGACAAAATTTTAACGAAAATTGCGTTTATTATCAAATGGTAAATGTAAAAATATTGAAGTTATGAATATTTTTTCAGTGACTTTAAGTATACATTTTTTATGAAAATTTTTTGAATGTAATTTCACATAATATGAACGTTCGATGCCGTGAAAATGAATCTTTGTTTTTCAATTATTTTCTGTCAATTTCTTTGTTTGAAAACCTTAATCGGATTCAATGAGTGCTATTTGTACATTACTGATGAATGATTTATAAATTGAGTTTTTAATACTCCGTTGCGACGGAACATTGAGTGATCGTTGAAATTTCGATGTCAGCTTTAATCTCATTATGAAAATTCAACATTGCATTCAATTGATTTCATGATGAATTGCAGATTGAGAATGATAGATGCTGAATTTTTAATTTTGCTTAAGCCGTTTTGATTTCAACAAATCAGAGGCATTGTTCGCCGTCACGTGGCACTTGCACATCATTTTTATTTGACAATCCTTTTTGTGTTAGTTTTCTCTGTAAATTTACATGGATTTTACAATAATTTCTTTCGTAATGGCCAAATTAGTGTTTATGTAGATGGAGAATATCAACTGATAGATATTATTGTAGATTATTTTCTCGTTTCTTATTTCAGGCTAGGAATGTGTTTTAAAACTTACGCTCATTTTCGTAAAGATCGATCATGAAAATTCCCACTCGCCGTGTCCGTTTATTCAATATCATCTGTTAGTGTTCGCTCTGACGCTCATTCGAAATTTTTCAAGTTCGACTTTTTTTAAGTCGACTTTTTTTCCTCGTCTTTTTTTTATAAAGGATTTCTTTCTGCCAACAGTTCGAATTGTTCTAGGAATATTTCTGATGGTAACGACAAAAATCCAATTTTTGTGAAAGATATTGAATTAAATTTCCTTCTATCAAGTTGGCTAATTTCCTTCAGGTAAATCTGTTCCACTCCCTCAAATATTCATACGTGGAATAATAGTTTTTCGGCAGAGCTAATTTTTTCTCTGTGTGTATAACACTCCACTAATGGCCTATTTTCGTCAATCAGCCTTCCGTTGTGTTCGTGTTTGATGCTTCATTCTTAGTCTGAGAATCCTTCAGCCATACCCATCCACCGCGATTTCCTATTTTCTTTTCCCTCCCTAATTTATCCCTCCACGTTGTATCATCCCTTCTCGCCTTTATTTTTTTCCTCACGTTTATTCAATATTTTCATTTCTCACGTTCATTTCAGTATCCATTTTTGTTTCCGGGAATACACTTCAATCTCGCGTACAATTTCATTGAATCCTACACTGATAGAACGGATTAGTTATTGTTCACGAATGGATTTTGGTTGGAGGTTAGGGTCTATTCGGTCTCACCAAATGTTCATTCGTTAATAGTTAACGAATGTATATTTGAGGAGCCTTGTTTTACTTGACCTTCGCCATTCAAGTGAACCATTCGTTAACTATTAACGAATATTCATTTGGTCATATTCAACTCTGCCATTCGTTAATAGTTAACGAATCTCGTTTGGAATAAATGAATCATTCTATTAGTGTACGCGTAAATCACGGCGATATATGAAAATTCAATTTTAAATCCGGTGGATATAAAAAATGCAGAACAAATTTTCAGTCGTTTGGTTCTACTGTGGTGAAAATTCCAGTGGTTTCATTACATTCGGGGATATCCATTTTTCGAAGTTATTTGAGGAAAAAAAATAGAGGGGAAGAGAGGTTGACTGATGCAATGAGAGCCACTTGTAATCATCCTCAGAAATCCGCTCGTAGATATTTAATTGCATTCACATGCAATCGATAGAACGAACCATTTGGAATCTGCATTCCAGGAGGATCGGATATTGAAATCTCAGCGAGTTCTCCGAATAGTTTCTAGGTGGGTGTCATTCGTAACTGTTCTGATAATTATAATAATTAACTTACTTTTTGGGATGAGAATTTTTAGAATGGTTTTCTCACTCGTTGAAAATGTTCAACTGTAGAGCTGAAAATAATGAATAAATAATCAATTCATTTTATGCATGTCAGTCGTTTCATAAATTAATCAATGGAAACTGGAAATGTCAGTTTGATTATTCTAGGGAAATTAACAGCTATTAGGGAAATTAAGGTGAATTTACATTTCATTATATTTGGTGGTATTTACATTACATTTTTATATATTACATTCGTGCACTCTGAATCAATTGAAAATTAAATCATGTGATTCTGATGCTCGCCTTTGGCTCGTATTATAGAGTCACATTCGCAAAGCTTTCATCGTAATGCTTTTATTGCCTGATGACATAATGTACTATTGCGAAAAGTATCTTCTAAAGGAGATTCCTCCCTCTCTCCCTCCCTTGTCTCCGGCTCATCAAGGTGAAAAATACCAACTTTCAGTACAGGAATGTGAAATAAGAGTATTCTCAGGGAACTATTGAATTTCAAAAATTTTGCTCATAAAAATCTTTATTTATGCTTACAGAGAAGTTTGCCATGACGCCTGGACCCAACTCCGGTTGTCACCACTGTTCGGCTGCATTTGCCCGGCCAATCAAATGAAAAAACGATGCGATAAAATATTTTCAATGATTAATCATAATCCTTGCGTCGGTAAGTCATCCAACACTCGTTGCTGGTCCTCAATTTTTTTTGTCTTTAGAATGGATTCTTGCACGGAGAAAAAATTCATAACAAAATTAATGTGTCAGAACGCATAAGCGAAGCGCAATCCACACCCCTGGAAAAATTATCCTACAGCACCAGAAATTCCATTTTGCTGCTCTAAGAAAATTACCCTGCAACCGCGTAATTTTTCTGCTAATTCCATGAAATCTCTATCATTGCACAGTGTTCTTTCTCGTTCTGCAGTGACATTTCTGGAGCTGCACCGTCATTTTCTCAAGGTCGTAAATTAAGCCTCGTTTAACCCTAGTCTGGTCACCATACACTGCGACTTTGGTCACCTCCGCGGGGATTCCCCGCCTTATTATTTAGGCTTCAGCGTTACCAAATTCACTCTACACTGCCCGAGCGCGTTTAGCGATTTTCCGGCAACGTCGCGTAACGGCCAATTTCATTTAACATGAGAAACAATAATTTATCCACTGGAAATAATTTGTTTCTGTTAGAAACTCTGAAAATTATGACGTTTTATAACTAATATCATTTTTTAGATCCTCCAACTGTTTAGTTGAGACACTCCAATATTCATTAAATTAATTTTAATTATTAAAGGGAGTTTATTTAATTTAATTAATAATTTTGTTTTAATTTAATCAGGTGACCAATCTAGAGTTGAAGTGCTGACACATGAATTTTTATAAAAAATTTCTCCTCTGTGTGGAATCACCTGGTGATATCACGACGAATGATTATTATGAGTACATTTGGATAATGTTAGCATCTCGTCACGATATTTGATGTTGTAACGTTATTTTGTTTTTAGAAATTGTTTCAATGTCAGTTCGTCGATTTTCAGATCTTATGTGTTATTGGAATTTTTTAATCATATCAGTACAGTATAAAGCATCTTCGATCCTGAAACATTGAAAAGTCTGCACGCGAATCGGAATGGGGCCAAAAATTCCAGATAATTATATCAATTAGAAATTTTCATATGATCAAAGCGTCATTTTAACATTTAATTATTGAAATTGATATTAATGAACCATTTTCATTAAATGTAATTATTTCGTTCAAACATAAAATAGTTGCAGAAAGTAATCGTCGATGGCGTGGTAATTGGATTTCAGTTTCAGTTGAATTCACTCCAGTATCGCTGGAAATATAATGTTCACTCATTATCCAACTTATGAAATTCATGCATAATACTTTTCCGAGTGAATTCTACATAGAAAATAATATTCCTAAATCATGAATACAATTTTAAAAATTTCTGATTGAATATTCCAATAAAAGCTTTTCAAAATTGGAACTTGTAATAAATTCTTTCTTTCAAAAATACGCATTTCTTTGTAATTGTGTCAGATTGTCATAAAATACTCAAATCAAAGCAAATAATTATAAATTGAGGTCTCCACCGTTCTTGAGTGAAGAATATACAATATTGATAATTATGAAAAAAAATTTTACCCGTTTAATATTTGCCACAATTCTTTGCATCAAACTTTCATCCAAATACTGGTAGTATCAGAATCAATATTATTCCATTAGATATTCCCCGCAAGGAAGCAATCCCTTTGATAACGAACAATAATTACCACTCGTGCTGATAGGTACAGATTTACACATTCAGGATCAAAGATGCTACTAATTGCATTTCATCATTAGGAATTGCTGTTTGCATTGATCCAACTTAATTGGCCGTAAGTAATGCGAGCTCCTGCAACTGCGACGTTCATCGCCTGTGTGAGCCACATTTTTTTGCTCCGTAAAATTTCCCATTCATTCAGTTTTTCACAATATTGAACTTCAACCTCCATTTACCCAATTGAATGTGTCTAAACGTTCGTATCATAGACTGTAAGAGTCGACTTCATGTGCCTTCACAAAAAAAGAATCATCCTGAACCAAGTCGAAGAATCGGTTTGAATCAAGTAAGAGTGAATCATGCCGGGAAAATCAAATTATTTCATGTTGCGACCGTAGGTGTGAATCAAATGCCAGTCGAGAGACGCACTTTTTTATATATCCCTTCATATATCAAAAGTCGTCCAATGGCTCTTAAGGCCGAGCCGAGACTTTCAAATTTCACCACGGTCTCCCCTTAAAGAAAATCCTTGAAAATGGAGAAGAAACAAAAAATTCTACTTCATCGTTCACCAGTTATCGAGGATCAAAGATAACGTTACCCTTAATCTCTTGATTTTCCCCCAAGCATTGTATGATATTTTCCACTAGAGTTCTGGTAAAAACCAATACGCCACACGATCGCTAAAATTCATGAGTTATATTGAACCGATTTTTCTCTCCATTCATCAAACAATTCTCACCATTTACATCCAGAAAATTAATTTCTCATAATGCGGACAGCTTCAAAAATTTCATTCGAATTTAAATTTATAACAAAAATAAATTCGACTCAATTCTTTTTCCCTCCTTTCTTTCATCATGTACTCATTTTTTTGTTCACCCCAAGTGCGAGGCACAGCTGTAGAGTATGAATATGAATGAGAGCCCCGTGGCAACCTCGACGGGATAATTTTTTTTTTCCAAAAGAATTCACTTCCATCCGAAAATGATACTGGTGAATACCAGAATCGATGAAAGAAATAGAGGGAAAATAATTTTCAAAATTCTAAATGTCTTAAATGAATTAATTATTTATTATCTCACTAGCAATTATGTCATCATTCATTACTCCATCGAAAAACATTTCATTACTTCAACTCCAAATAAACAAACATGAAATAATCATTGACTGTTAATCTATCAATTGATATCATGCGAAGCATCCTATTATGACAGATGCAGTGAGATTGTTCCATTGCATTGCAACGTCAGCTTTAACTTTATTTACAGATGTGAATGTAATTTATCGTTTCATTAACCAACTCCATCAAAATGTTACTTTTTACATCGTTCGTGAGACTGCGGACGCAAAATTGTCGCATCGTATAGCTCCCGGGTATCTCACGATATCCGAGTTGAAATATCCCCTGCTCCTTTTCTCCCGTCGACCTATCTCGTGTCACATCGAGTATGTTTACACCATTTCCCACGTGGTTATAAGCTCGAATAAGCATCGGGGGATGGATACCAAAATGCACTCGCAGAATGCCTTTCACAATGTCACGCGTGCACGAAATCACTGGCATCTACCCTTGTACAATAAACAAACTGACGCACACTGAGAATTCTGGTATTTTGGGTTTGTATTATTTCTCTATCACAATCATGATTATTTAACGATAAAAGCTCATTTGAAAATGACAGCACTGCTATGTGAAATTCCTGTGATATTTCATTCAGCGGAAAAACGCTGTTTCATTGGTATCTATTACATGAAGAATGTATCGTTCCAACGACGTAACGCGTATGCCCCGATGCTCCAACATACCATGGATTCTTGTCACTTTGGCACGCATCACCGCGTGAAAGCAAGTAGTAACGATAAAGCAAATGTTTGACGACAAAGGCATATCTGTTGAATTTTATACATTTTAGTTTTTAATTTTCGATTTTGGATGTCTCTTAAACGTATGATCAACAGTGCAAACGAGACAAACACCGCATGCTTTGTACAGTTGCATGTTGACATCTGTCTGGCGTTGATTATCTTCAAACTCTTGTTTTTGTTTGGAAGTCGTTGAATTATCCGTATGTGTACGTAGAATGTATCCATGCATGTGTATTTCTACTCTTGTCTATTTGACTCTCTACCTGTTCTTCTATTTTCGTTCGAAACAATCTTGTATTCATCACACGACTCATTCACATTCACTTGCAAATCATTTCATCATCCGGTCCTGATCCAATATAACAATCCTTCATCGCTCCGCTTGTCAATCAATTTTCCAACTATATTCAAAGTGCACTGAAACTCGAATAGTAAAAATTACACTTGTACGGATTGTACTTCACGCGGAAATGAAAAAGTCATTGCCCACGAGAATTCACAATTTCGCTCACACTGTAAACAAAATAACTCAAGATGCCGTGGTACAGGGTAACCCCTGAGGTCTTGAGAATCCAAGCGGGTATGAGTGCCATCACGATGCTTGATGCTATTCAAATTCGTTCGTCTTATTCACTCCTGAAAATCCGATATAAAGTTTTGAAGATGCGACGACTCAGAATGAAGTTTCGTGACACTTTATGGCACTCAACGGCGGAGGGAGAGGGGCCTCGAGTGAGGGTTTCGGAAAAGGATGTGTACGTGTCTCGTCAAAAAATATTCATTTCCATTGCGACACGTGTAGATCAGCATGAATCGCGTTACATTTATTCATATTTTCCGTCATTTTTATTTGTACATACTCATCTTGGCTCGTTCTTTTTACTTCTTACTTGCCCATGAAAAATTTTCTTTCCGGGACAAATTTCAAAGTAATTTCTGTCAGTATTCACGTAGAGTAAACGAGGTCGGGGCTCGCGGGAGCACCAACTGAGTCGTTCACTATGAAAATTCAATTTAAAAGCCCTCCTCTCTCCACCCTTGCGTCCTCCAGGACAATTTTCTTTTTGTTCAAACATGGGTACTCATTTCTGAAAAGGAGCCTGTCCATAATTCCTGGATGTAATGAACCTTTCCTCTCCTCACAGTCTCGCTGACCAATCAGAAAAAAGACCCATCTGTTCATCTCTCATGATTAGTATCACCCTCATCATCAAACTTCATCACATGAAATGATCATGATCAAAAATCGTGCACACAAAGTATCAAAACCGCACATTTTCCACTCACTCCGTACGCCTGCGTCTCTGCTTCTGTGTTTCAGACTTTCTGCCTTCCTCCGCGTCCGTAGACCTATCGGGAACGGACTCGGCCCTATATCCATTCGACCCCCAGCAGGAGAACTTCCAAGAGATCTGGTTGCCCCCGACCAGTATGTACCCCTATTTTCTATTCCCCGCGACATCGCGCACCTATAGCTACGATATCGATGATAGCGATCGTCATCACAATCACTATGGTGTACCAGAATTACCAGGTAGCACTGGTACTGGTAGATACGGTATAAAACCGAATCCACTAACCCCACCGGATTCAGATCAATCAAAGCCACCAATAGACACCAGCAATCATCAAATAAGAAGGTTGGATGGATCCAGTGGAGGAACTAGACAATTAGGGCTAGATAACAAGGGCATTAATTCATCTCCGTCCGCTTCTTCTTCTTTATCTTCTTCTTCTTCTTCCCTGTCGAATAAGCCCAAGCATGATATGCAGCCAGAGCACAAACGCGAGCATGATAATAATAATCAGCACAACAACAATATGCACCAACATCATCGCGAAAGACATCACCATGATTATCATCCCGATTCACCTGCACAACCTGCACCATCCACAATAGTGAAAAATTATGATCCTGCACAATCAGCACCACCGCTCCAACCTGGCACCAACGTATTTGCACCGAGACCTACCTACAAGCACGGTGCTATTGTTATCAATCGTTATGATGATACTGATGAATTCGGTCATCGTATTGGTATGCCAGTCGATCGTCTCTTCGATCTTCGCGAAGCCTTTGATGGATTTGTTGATCAAGGTTCGTAACGATTTTTATGTCCGGTATTTCACAATAACGTTGATGCTTTTTGTTATCATTCAACATGATACAGCCGCGATGATCGAACTGTCCATGGTACCTCGATAATCGAGATTGATTAGAGTGCTTCGTCGTCTCCATTTTTCATATTTCTTGGTTTGTTTGTTTGTTTTTCCCCTTGGGAGATGACGTTTGAACAACTGATAAAACGAAGGTACATTTACTGCAGCAATACTCTTATCTGTCTTGATTGTCCAGGTGTCCCTTGCAATACTCGTACAGAAAATAGTCTCCACTTCATCTGCTCTCTTTTCAAACGTCGATTCAATCGTGCACGAAAGATTGAGTGTCTTCATGGTGGAAAAGGAACCCCGGGTTTAGAACAATGTGTTAAGACACTCATCCTCCCTCTCCCCCCTGATTCTTTGGTGTCGTAAAAGAGCGAGTATATACCAAATGGACACCGATGACTCTCACCCCAGTGAGACTCCACCATTGTTCCTTTTCATAATCGTCGGGTGAAATGACAATGGGGAGATTATACCCTTCAACTTCCACCTTCATCTATCCTTCGTATTTTCTTTGAAAATATTTCTTCGAGTTTGCTCTCGCCGAAGAGCTCTCAGGACTAGAATAGATGGAGTGGTGGTGGTGTAGCGGAAGGAGGGAGGCTGGTGAGAGTCGTCGGTCATTCGCTGGAGCAATTTGGAGTATTCCAATTGCACATCCTTTAGTAACTATCGCGATACACTGAGCCCGCGTTTACAGTGAAAATCATCTCTCATCCCGACAACTCGACGAGTTTCGAGATCATCGAGTCACAGTTGGAGAATCCATTGATCGACGCCAATCATCAGGATCTCCATGCTTTGAAGCAACTTGCACTGCCTGGCTTCCGGCATCATCCACATCATCGTAGAAATCTTACTGATGAGCATGATGGTAAGTTCACGTTATTCATGATCATAATTAATTTTCGTCAGAAGTTTTAAAGGATTTGTATGGAACCTATTTCGTTTTTAAAACACGCCAGAATGTCCATCAGGTGAGTAGAAATTCAGGTGAAAGGACCTGATCAGTTTGAGAAACGAATCGTTTTTCTCCGCATTCCTGATTCGCTTGATATCCAGAAAGCTGGTCAGACATGGAGAAGGGAAAATCAGATTAGGGATCGGTTTTGACCAGAGCCGGATTCAGTTATTAGTCGAGTCGGATTTTCGGAGTCGAGTCGGAGTTCGGATTTTCATGTACTCAGAAGGACCAGATCAAGAATAGAAGCTGTTGTGATTTAAGATGAATTCGATTATTAGTAGAAGTTGATACTTGTAGTTGAATCAAAACTGGAATTCTATTTTCGATCCGAAACCAAGAGACAATCACATATGACAGATCAGCTCCGAACTTGAGCCTCATTCGAATTTCTACTCAAACAGGTGCAGTTCTGGATCGACCACCATGTCAAATAACTCCAATATGCCAACCATAATTATTCAGCCCTCGAACTCTCTAAAATCCGAAGTAACTTAGCTGCATGTTGACAGGGATGCACACCTAAAAGACTTCCTCTCTATCTATCTCTCCATCTCTGTCTTTCGATCGATCACCGCTGATATCCCCGATTTTCGATCACGACTAGACTCGATTAAGGATGATACCCAAGCTGTCGCCTCTGCTCGCAGCACTAGGGCATGATAGAATCGATTTATTTTTCGCTCGAAATGCACTTTCGGGACGCCTGGTAATGATGCCAAGGTATACGATAGATCGTTACCCCTTTCAAGTCTCACCCATTCTACAACATCACACACCACTGAGGTGAGGAGAAATCGATTCTCATCGTTAGTTATGGTCTTCCTTTCCACAAGTGCATATAAAGCCCTTTTTCCCTTTTTCTTTTTGCTCACGTGAGTGATCTTGATTGTGTTGTTCTCTTTTTTTTCTACCGCCACTGGAAATCTGCAAATCTTCGGTTTCCACGATTACTTCTCGACCATGTGACCCCGAGATTTTACAACTTGTTTTATTACCCAAAGAAAATGGCTACATAATGCTCTCCATTATCGTCGACACGCGGTGTACTCTCAGGAATGAGAAAAGGGGTTGACGTCGTCCGTCGAAATGAGAAGAGAAACAAAAGTCGAAAGAAGGCAAAAATCGATAACCTCAACAGCCTGAGAGGCCGCTTCGCGATATTCATCTCGTTTCCCTCCGCTCTCACAAACTCCGCAATATGATTTATCACACCGGCAGAAGGATAGTTTAATTTAATTTCACCCGGCTTCCAGCGTGGACCCACTCTCATTTCCACGTTTCCCACCGTCGGTCGTATATCTAGAATCCGGTCGCGATTTCACAACTACCCTTAACCACTATGACGCAGTACTTCTGTCCAAATCACGCTAAAACTTGAGAAATTTCATTTCAAAATATAGCGCAAAGGTTCACGATAACATCATAACACGATCGTACCCCGTTCAATTTATCAGGTGAAATCTTCCCTCCGGGTAAATTATCTGATGCTACAACTTTTAGCCACCTGCAACCCACAAACTTGTCCTGAAAACTATCATGAGTGAGCATTGCACGTAGAACCCTTTCATCTCCTCTCCGAATTTGTTCATCTTTATAAATAAGTTTGTTAGCCGTGGATAGAGGCTAACATCGATCCAACCAGCTTGCAGGACACGTTTTCCAATTAGTTGAATCCGATGCAATCCACCATTCTTTTTCTCATTTGCAACGAGTATCCAGAAAGATTCACGTGCGCAAGCTGCAATCCCTTCTCCCCCTTCACCCATCGCAAAACGTCTCCGGAATAACCAGTGTCTCCGCATTAACCCCTCCGGTGTGTCTCTATTTTTCCTGGTAGCTAACCAACAAAACGTTTTGTCACGAACCCAGAGAGAGATATCCTTATTACACTTCTTCTTTGTTGAATTCCCTGAGCGACGTCCTCGCTCCTTCTCTTGCCTTCGCTCTTGTTACCTGGATCCTTTCTGCCTTATCATCTTGCTCTGGCGCTGGGTTATTAAGCTCCCGCGTGTAACACCACTTGTTTTCCAAGAGGTTAATTGTTCTTTAATGAATACCGTGGATATTATGTGAAGCACAATGGTAACCAAGAATGCGATATGAAAGACTGGGGGAAGGGATGAGTGAGCTGACGTAATCGTTGGCGATAGCGTCCTGGAGAAGAATTATGAGGATGAATATTGTTTCGAGCGACAATGAAAGCCAAGATTGTGATCATTGTGTACCGCTGTCCGACGGAGGTGAGTGCAAGAGTCACTAGAATTGTGCCATTAATCAAAGTGTTTACGCATCGAAAAGGAAGGGGAAGGGGTGCTCGACGATAAACAACAGTTGGACGATGTAAATTGAAAGGGAAAATAATCAGGAGATGTATACGGGAATTTTTTGTCCTGCGTCGCGTTAACATGAGTCCGTGAATCGTACTCGCGCGGAAGTTCTTTCCGGGAGTAGTGGTTTTGGAGGGGTTGAGGAAAAGGGGAGATGGTATAAGTGGAGAAAATTCGATTTGCCATTACTGGATTTTCCGTGCAAGCTCGTTCCAGTAAATAGTTTCACCTAAGCCCTATCGTATAACGAGGAAGCAGGAATTCTTCTCTGACCGTTTCGACATAGTTTTCTTCTGCAATGGCTGGGTGGAGGGGAGTTCGATTTACCTAGTGGAGACCCGTCGACTGAAGTAAATTATTGGGTTTTTTGGGTTTCAATCTGTGGGTGATTTTTTTTTGGGAAATTTGAAATTGTATACGACAAAATTAAGACTGGCAATAGGATCATCTCTATGTATTGTTTAAAAAATTGGAATTCTGTGGACAGTCTACAATATGGAAAGTTTTTGCCTAATTGGTGCATGAAATCCTACAATTTTTTCATCAATTGACTTCACTATTGAAATTTCAGAAAATCTCATTATTGGAAGATCAACTATTCCATTGATTTGCTAATGATTCGATCAGAAAAAATGAAACCTGTAAATTTCCAGCTTATTGTAGAAAATTTTACGGAACTGTCACGGAATTTTTCTAGAGCGTTCTGTAATTTTTATCTGAATATTATAAAAATTGCACTCGGCTTTGGTGATGAAAATTTGGTGCTCGAAATTAAGACTTCAAAATTAAGAGTCAGAAGTGAAAGGTCAAAACAAGGGTCATGAGGGGTATAATGAGGGTCAGAATGAGAGTCACAAGGTTCAGATTAAGTCACAAGCGTCAGAATAAGGATCATGGGGGTCATATGGGGGTTGCGGGCAGGGGGCGTAGCCTCCTAGTATGAGATATAATTCAACTTGATCGGAATTTGTGTAACAAGTTGAATAATGATTGAGTTCGATTTGAATAGAGAATACCATTAGATTCATTTGAGTACTTCGCAGGGAGGCATTGATTTAAGAAAGTCGGATAAATTGAGCGTTTGAAGTGTCCACTCCGACCGCCGGCTGAAGAGTGAGCGTTTTATTTTCAACGTGTTGCTGCGACACGTCCTTAGGGCTGTTTCTAGGTACAAGGCCTTCGCGGGGAGTTTTCAACTGTTGACAGAAGAATAAAATAATGAGATACAATTTCACTTTGCGGTTGAACCCGGAAAATACTCAGATATTACAATGTGTATGGTATAGTTGAATTGACTGTTACAGACTCATGGAGTTTGTCATAATAAATCACTTCAGGTGATATTCTCAAATTGCTGATAAATGGATTATAGGGGAGGGTGGGGCAAAACGGCCCCCTTTCAATTGTCAATAACTTGTGAATGACATTGTGAAAATTCCCAGTTTCAACTTCATTTTGAAGATAATTTTTCATTCTTCAAAACGAGCTCCAACTCATCCCAATCGGATTATTGAATCGGAAAATATTGACGATTGAAGGGGGGCCGTTTTGCCCCATCCTCCCCTAAATTGAATTTAATACTCGACCATCAACGTTGCTATTTCAAGGTTCTTGTAAGAGGAAATTCTGTAAGCTGAAGTTTCTATCAAAAAGATGTGAATAATAAATAGGAATCTTCTTTTAATCTTCCACAGACCACCTTCTTTAGGAAATACGATTTCCTATCGGATATTTCCGAATTCCCCATAAGATCGACCTATAGAAAATCATATGAGATGGTCACATTGCCATTTATCATATGTATGGTATTATTAGAAGGATATTTCTGCAATCCGATAATACTTCTCCCTTCCACAGGCATTCTCGTAGAAAAACTTTTCCTTGGATCAGGAAATATTTTCTGAATAAGTTGTCTCAGTTTTTTCTGCAAATTCGCCATAAAAAAAATTACTGGAAATTAGATAGATTTTGCAAAAGTATTGCACTGATTTCAAATCCAAAGCATAAACCGATCCATGGAAATGATTCTTTTTAATCAATTCCGTTTGTATCCTGATAATTGTTCCACTCGTTATATCGAATGTACGTAGCACGTCGTTCAACTGTATCTCTGAACTACTCGAGACTTTTCTCCCTTGTATACCGTTGTCTTCCATCATTTTCATGGTGAAATAGCTCACTTATAAAGTCACAGTCGCTCCTGGGGGTTCGGTGGAAGTTGCCGCTAGGTGATTCAGTCGGAGACTAACTCGAGGCATCTCTGCGCCTGGCAGCCTTTTGCCACGATCAACTCTGCCTTAATACAACTGATATACAAATTTCACATTTTGACTCAAGGATATCCTCGAAGACAAACTTGAAATGTAATTCTTAGTGAAACGTTTAACAATGAATCTCCTTAGGCAGTTCTGCACTGTTACCAGTTCTATTCAATTCTGTTGTCTGAACATTTTCTGCAATTGCATAATTGCTGTTTGCTCTCCCTATCTTGAAGATCTTTATCTCTCGTCAGTGGTGGCTGTAGACAGCATTGACCCTTGATGTCTGATGGCGCTATGATTAGGGTCATTACCCTCTCCCAATTCACTCCGGAGGGTTGCTGGCGGCAACAGGGTAAGGCCAGAGAATCAGGCTCGTTTGTCTTAATAAACCGCGTCGAATCCAACCTCTCTCGTCGCAGACTTACGACTAGTCATTCCCGAGAGGAGGACTATCCCATTGGGTTTCGCGGTTCGGTACTCATTTTTCTCACCCCAACTCGATAGTGCCCAGACGTGTTTGATACCTGAGAGGAGGTAAAAGTCACTTCAATATTCACCCGGTTCGAATCTATCGATTTAATGCACTCCGGTGGCAGGAAGAATCATCCATTAGGTTGAACAGATTATCGACACTTCGAACGTATGCGAAAAGGATGATTAGAGAGGATATTTCATCGAGTTGGCATCATTTATCATTCTATGATAAAGATTTATACGATTTTTCGAGTGAAGTAGTAACAATCGTCGAGAAAAAACTTTCTGGTTTCCAGAGACAAAATACTGGATTCGAGTGAAATTTCTCTGAGAATCATAGTACTTAAATCAAGGCACTTTGGTTCTGAAATCTAGTACTTTGAGTTCTTAAGAGAAGACTCCTATGAGTTTTAATCATCACAGGTTATGGAAATGAGGATCTCCATTTCCATAACCAGAAAAAACTCCTTGGCTATTGTCTGTTACACTATTAAAAATTTTTAGCAGAAATTTCCGGGCCACTTTTCGGAAACTTTTATCACATTTTAGTTCGTGACGAAAATTCAGAATTTCAGAGAAAAATCAATGGGAACTGCAAATTTCAGTTCAATTATTGCTTGCAAATTTGTAGAAATTAGACAACTCTGGTAAATATGCATTTGAATTCTCAATTAATTGAAAATTCGGTAAATACCCACTCCACCAACCTCTCAAAAACAACTGAACTACATGGAGAGAAATTTTTGATAAAAATTATCCTACCGTTTTATAAAAGTGTGTCATGAGTCATCGTTTCCTCCCCTTGATTTCAAAAATATTTTCGAAATAATGTTACAAGTTCTAGCTTCTCGCTGCTAAATTCAAGCCAATGCATGACCCCTCCATGAATTATTAAATTCTCCACCAGATCCCAGTGGTACGGGTATTGACACCGAGAGGATCATCCACCAGCCCATGAAACTGGTGCTGACGACCACGTGTCACAATGCTTTCGAGCTCTGCAGGTAAAAACTATCACAATGGCTTTTCACCACCGTTGAGATTCAAATTTCCAATTGACAAATTGAATTGTTTTTTTTTTTCATCACCACCAGAAACGACACCGAATGCAGTGGTTTATTTCAACCCGTGCTGAATCACTGCGACTTGGCCAGCTGTGCACGTAACGAGTGCATGAACGCCCTTCAGCACTTCTACAAGAAGGCCAACGACAGACACTCCATGGAGATTGCTTTTTGCCTGTGCAAGTGAGTAATAGTTCTCATTCATTGAAGAGTTGAGGAGGAGCTTGGTGGTGCTTGTGAGTGTGTGGGATACTTTGATACAAGTCGAGAAAGTTAGGTAAAAAGGAGGTGGAGAGCGCGGAACGAGGAGGAATGGTTTATTGTTGGACAATTTCGAGTGGGTTACGTTACTGTGACGTTGAGACAAACGAATGGGCGAGTGCTTCGTTGGTTTACACGTACCCAATTAACGAGCCAATTTCCCTTCTTGATACTTTGAGGGAATTAGAAAGCGATTATTTGGGGTGAGAACATTTAATTACAACTTCAGCCGACCAATTTGTCCGGTTTCATTGGTCAAATTTAATGGTTTTTCATCTTGCTATTCATTATGGAGTTTTGGGTTGATGTTATACTGATACGCCTGAGGCATTCAATGGAGTTACTTTGACAATGAACGAGTTACCGCGTTGATAATAGCTATATTCTCCATTGTTCCCATTTTTCCTTAGTTATTGTTATATATCCTCAACGGATTTAACGTATTATTCGTGGGTTCCTGTGAGATACAGACCCTCTCGTGCAAGTCACACTTGCGTTAGGCATACAAGGGATTCCCGGAAGAATTCAACTTGAGGTTCATTTGATAAAATATTTTGTACCTTCGTTATGGTTCGATTCACTGTGAACAATGTCTATCTTGGGAGTTGAAGTTGAGGTAATTTTACACTTGTTAGTGATTCCATGGAGAGGTAGTTGGATGATATGTTAATTAGTTTCTGTAACATTACACTGAGAAAAAAAGAACGAAGAATTACCAGGAAACGGCAGTGACAGATTACACGGTTCGACAAAATTTGACCTCGAAAACGAAACCGACTTCATCTTGTAGATATTTTAATGCGAATTTTAAATGTCTGTTGATTTTAATATTGAGATACCAAAATGTCTTATTATTTTGGTATCTCAATATTATTATCGACCATTTTATTATCTTTTCTAACACTACTTTCTTGGGAGGGGTGCGAAAATGTAAAAGGCCGAGAGGTCATACATATTGGATGAAAAAAACAATTCAATGTTGATGTAATTGGGAGTTGCTGAGACAGAAACGTGAATATTTTGAAGAATAGAATCGACAAAGTGGTCCCTTTTCATGCGGACGTCCACATATCATTCTTGATTCGAGTATAAAATATACTTTTTTAATAAACTTTAAAATATACTTTTTTAATTTTCACAACGAATAGATAAGCGTGCGCATAAGTCTAGTATAATATAAGGATCAAACACAAAATGTGAGAATATAAGGGTCAAAAAGTGGAAGTTAAAAAATGAGGGTCGGAATATTAGAGTCAAAAACTGAGGGCCTGAATGTAAAGGTGAAGGAATAAGGATCAGAATATTAGGGTTAAAAAAGGGCTTCTGAATATTTATATTGTTTATTAGGATAAAAAAATTAGGGTCAGAAAATAAAAGTAAAAAAAGGGTGTCAGGCAATGAGGGTCATTTAAGTGCCTGACATAATGTCTGACTTATATTTAGACCCTCATTGCCTGACGCCCACTTTTTTTACTTTTATATTCTGACCATAATGTTTTGACCGTAATATTCTGCCCTTCATTGTTTAACCTTCACTTTTTGACCATTATATTCTGACACTTAGTGCTTGACCCTTATATTACACTTAAGAGGGCGTGCTATAACCCGGCCTGATACGAAAGAATCATCTTCGAATTGAAATACCCATCTCCCAATTGGGAATCAAGAATAATATACTTAAATCAAGTATATTATATACTCGAATCAAAATACACTTATAAAATAAACTTGATTCAAGTATATTTTATACTCAATTCAGATATATTTTTGCTCCGTGTTGTTTAGTAATTTTTGTCCGAATTTTTTCTCCGTGTATGAATCTCTTTTTACATATTATTTTCACAATCAGGAAAACGCAGGATAAACAAGACGAGTGTATGGTCGCGCAGGAAAAAACACATCCAGTCTGTGCACAAGGCCATGATCTTGCGGAGCTACCAACCTGTCATGGTTTAGCTGAAACCTGCAAGGAGGACAGAGCCTGCAGGTAAATCTTGTGATCGAATTGGCGATTATTTTTACATGACTGATGGAGTATGATTGAATAAACTAGAGATTAAATGCTGGTCCCGAATACAGAGTTCGTTTTATTCATTTTCATTTGTTATTCAAGACTTTCTGAAACGATTTCAGTAGACATTCATAATTTTGAATTGTTTAGCGAGAGCTTTCAGATTCGGCGAAAAAAAAATGAACTCAATTATCCAATGGAACCCATTATTTCCATCCTCGTAGAATATTAATTTCATCAGTGCTCATTGCGGGGATATTTTCATCGCTAGATTTCTCGCCGCGTTTTTATGGAGACTTTTATACTTTTGACAAACAGTTGAAATGCCAGCTGATCATCTAAAGATTGAATAAGAAATTTGAAAAGAACAATTGATGGATGCATGGAGTATTCATTCATTTCTACATGAAGATCCTTCAAATGAAACCCTTGCTCTTCAATCCACAATTCAATTTTTATATTTTGAACATTAGTTTTCATTTAAGTTTAATACCGTTGTAGCACCAGTTTTCGAATGGAACCCAAATAGAGTTTTTTTCCTTCAATAATGTAGGAAGATTAATATTTTTCATTTTCATGATCTGATTTCATGGAGAGGAAATGAGAAAAATGCAGGGAGAGATGATCAGCAAGAAAATAAAAAAAAAGATTTTTTATTTTTCTGAAAAATTTCAAAACTGACTTTTTTTTAAATGACGAAAAAATATCAATATGTTCCCTTTTTGTGATCTAATTTCAATGGAAGAATGTGAAAAAAAAGCAGAGATACGTGATCAGGAAGAAAATAAAAATTTCGATTTTTCAATGTCTCCGGAAAGTTTTAAAATTGATATATTTTTTCAAATAATGAAAGAATGCCCATCAATTCAATTTCTATCCTCACATTTTTATAGACTACATAAAAAATAGCAAAGAATAAAAATTGGAGAATTTTATCGGATTAATATAATATTATTATGTAATTTTTCTTCATTTTTTCTTCAATCGTTTAGGAATAAATTGGAGCACTACGAGCAGAGTTGTGCCGTAGACAGTGTAACAAAGAAGTGTGCAGGACCACCAGGTGATTGCAGACGTGCAATGCTCGGTATTCTCGGAACAGAGTTGAGATCAAACTGCGCTTGTAAGGGCACTGACATGACACAAATGTACGACTGCCTCGGCTGGCAGCGTCTCCTCTGGGTTAATCCCTGCGTGGGTGAGTTAATAATGTCCATACAACAGACTCCTCAGGATTGTAATAGTACCACGTGCGCCCAGCCCCATCATATTGTCCCATGGGATGTGTCTAAGTTTCATCTCCAACCGTCTTTAGCCCCATCTCAGTGTGTCCCCTGTGGTATTAACGTGTTACGACAATCCTTGGACGTAGGGCGATTTCATCCTGCCCTCTAAAATCGATCGTAAAATTCATCTGTTGACTGACAATAGAATCTTTTTATAGTCCTTTTATGTCTGCTTTATTCAATACTTGAATGTAGGTCAATGAATTTTTAACGAGTGTCCTGGTTGGAAAGTGCATCTTGTTAAATTTAATGGATGTTTGAACAGACGACAATAGGTGAGATGTAGTAATAATTCATCCTTCGGTTGAATTTTCCAGAAGAAGATATGCATTTTACACGTACGAAAAAATTTAATAGAAAAACCTGGCGAATTCGCTTGACAATTCTATTGGATTTCTATTGAACTTTCTCTTATTTTTTGGCAGATTTTGATGAAATGTTCAATAACAAATATTTTATAGAAAAAGTCAATAAGAGTCGATTTTTCTATATGTATTACGTATTCTATTGAGTTATTTTCTGTGGATTTTTTCGGCTCAAATTTTCCGAGTTTTTTTGTTCGATTTTCTTGATGAAAAGAAAAGAAAAATTGAATGACATTTTTTTACAACATTCATATATTTAACATTGGTATAATCCCATGGAAATGGATTTAACAGCTTAGTAATAGATGAGCACTGTCGTACAAAGAATTTTCAACAATTGATTTAGAAACTCGGGCAACTAAGTTTCGAGTATTTGGTGAAAATCTCTGAAGTGAGTAAAAAATCTAAGGAATATGTGAAATTTTCACTCCGACGAAGATTTACCGCGGAATTCAACCAAAATAGTCTCAGTTTTTTGTAATTTTTCCTCAAATCTAACAGAGTTGTACTTCAATTATTCCGCAGTTTCGGTCATTCTACGAAATCTTGGTTCTGGTGTCGGTAATAGTCTAATCCTTAAATTAAGAATATTTTTGTTCTTAGCTTGATGATACTTTCTGATCTTTTAAAATAAGTATCTTTTAAAATATCTCTGAAATGTATCAGTCTGTCGCAATATAGTTCATAGTTCCTTTTTTATTAAAAGTAGGTCATCCAACATCTTGAATCAATTAATGTTCATTTAATTAATCTTGAACTTTATACCTTTCGCCTAAAGATATACATAAATATATGTAATTTGTTTAAGCCCCCAAATAATCTTAATTTAAAAACTTACCTGTCCCGGAATCAAAATTAAAAATATTTCTCATTTGAAATAAGTACATTTTTGGTCTTCAACTTCAGATATTTTCCATGTGTGATAATGCATATTAGAACCATGAGTTTCTTAGAACCAATAACTTGATTCCAAAAACTAGAAGCTTTAATCTCAGTGGAACAACAATTGCGACGACCTCACAAAATTTCCGCCAAACCCCCAGAACTTATCGATCCCAGCAATCCTCAAACCCAAATGCCCTGGGACTTCCTGAGAATTGCATTCACCAGGTTAGATAAGTCATTTAGATACCCAGAAATTGCTCCAGCCTGCATCTTCCGCATAGTACCCACCGTAAAACTCATCAGGGCTTTATTCTTCTGCCTCTTTAAAACTTTCCACCAACCCCCTAACAAAATCTTGATTCACTTTCCAGCCAATTTCCATGAAGAAAGATTAACGATTGAAATTTTTCTCATTATCCAACTGCAGTTGACTCACAGAAGGACTTTCACACTCGTAAGAAGCATCATCATCATCCACATCCGAGAACAACAACAGCCACAGAAGTGTGGAGCACTACAGCAACATATCTGGCAACTGAGCCAACGATTACGGAGACCATTGTAGAGGACAATTTTATTCCAGATGTGACAAAGAGATCCTCAACCCAGGCTGCGCCAACGTCAGAGGCATCAACCAGTACAACAGTAACACCTAGTACAACAAGTACTACTATTCGTGTTACAACACCCAGTACAACGACAACGAGTACAACACCACCAAGTGAGACATTTACACGATTTTCATTTGTGTTCTTGTACGAGGCTAGTTACAATCGTTTTATTGAAGACATTCTGGGGATTCTGGCTGCTAAAATTCACATTTCCAGGTTTTTGTGTTCAGGCACTTCCGTAGAAAATTTTGGGGCTACGGAGTGGAGGAAAATATCAAAGGTTCCGACGATCAACTGTTCCCAAATTTACCAAATTTTGTCTTTAATCTGACGAAACTCTTGTTTTTTCAAGGAATTGGAACAATTTCACTGTAGGATTAGGATAGGCTGAACTCTTGCAGCCAGGCGCACTGCAAAATTCATTTTTTTTTGTTACTCTGATGTCGAACTCCATTTTTGAGTGAAACATAGTATTCTCTCTGCTCTTAGGATGACTTTGGAACTGTGTTGATATGCACAAATAATATAGATCGCGAGAAATTTAATATTAACCGGGAAAAAACAACTTTTTTGTATACACAAACCCATTCAGTGGCTCCAAGTTACCTGCTCGCACTAGTACGCACTACGGCCGGTCGAGCGCGTCATTCAGTGCTAGAGTTCCCAATAGAATCTATAGTGTATGCATTGGCGGAGTTCACACGATGGTCTCCGCCGTGCGCACTCGAACCTCCCTCAACGGTGCCATGTTCAGCCATCAGTTTCCTCTAACGTAACTAAAATCCCGAACTACGGCGTACATTTTCAATAATTAGAAATAATCCCTGTAGTGACGGCTAATGAAATTGTGGGGATATGTGCCTGAAATATATACGGTCTATTCGTGAAGCGTTTGGATTTTTATTCCATTGTTATTTTATTGTGATTTTTGAAAAAGTGATACCGTAAGACTGTGTTGATGACACATTTGTCATATTTTCTCCTCAAGTGTTCAGCAAGACCGAGACGATCTCTTCAAAGTGAAGTCTCATTTGATTCTCGTACGCAGCCCTAAATCAGGTAATGACCGCATCAGCCATTTTGTTGCAAGTAATCTGAGATAATCTATCTCTATCATAGAATTCCATTTCCTCCCACTGCAGAGAATAAATCGCAGGGAACAAGACAGTTGAAAAATATTTGCTCCCTAAAATTCTACCACTAGACTTTAACGTGACAAAAAATTCCAGTGGTGTACATTTGTACTCGGCTGGTTTTACCCTCCTCCCCCCATTTTACACTCTCAATGAAAACTGTAAATTTTGTAGAGCGCGAGAAAAGCCAATATTTAGCCTGACGTTGAAAATGCAGGATCAAAGACTGCGTCGTGAGCATGTGTACGCTACTAGTACCAAAAGAGTGAGGAGTATGAGAGGTGTGGCACTCGGATGAACTGTTGACTGCCAAGGAAAATATTTCGGGAATTTACAAGGGGTGTTTTCTCACCTCCCCTATGTCTATCCGTCGTCCTCGTCTCAACCGTGTGTTTTCGAGTTTAGTATATCTCTCTGTCTCCATTTATCTCACTCCAGCCGTACTGCAACTGCTGCCGAAAAAGGTTGAGAGGATACCAAACACTTTGATCGCTCGCTCGTACGACATTTCGACAGATGAGGGAAGGCTGTTCCGCGCCAAAGGCATTGGTTCAATCGTAATACCTGAAAAGATGAAATGTAAAAGGAGGGAAAAATAAATACAAGTACAGATCAAACAAAAAGTTATAGAATAAATCGGAAAATTCAGGGGGAAAAGTACAGACGATAAGAACTAACTTGCCTCGTGCATGAAAACTATAAAATAGGGGTGTGTGTAAATATTGAAGAGTTTTTTTATTCATTTTATCTTTTTTCAGGTTTCTGCGTGGTTCAAAGGGCGAGACAAAACCATCAGTATATTCGTGTTGGTAAAGCGAAAAGGGTAAGTTCACGAGAGCTGCTATTTTTGAGAAAAATCGAATGTCAATGCCAGTGTAGCGAATTTTCACCTTTCTTTTCAATGTTGAAAGACATTTTATTGAATTTTTTTTATCCGTGCAAGAATGTCTGGCTCCATTGTATTCACTTCGAGCGTAGGAGTGAGACTTTTAGAGGATAGTTCAATATTTATTTCACGCAAATAGGTCGGCATTTAATTATTTGTTTGATTTTATTGGTTCATTTATCAGGAGTAAATCAATGGAATTTATGTTTATTTGATGTAGAGGGGATGGATTTAGGTGAATTGTGAAATAAGTGGTTTTGAAAGTCTAGAGGCTGTGTATCATTTCTTTATATTTTCAAACATTCTATATCAGTTCCGAGCAAATTTAGAAGACGTAAAAATCCGGAAAATACAAAGCTTGCATTCGGCAGCGAAAACGACGTAATATCAGATAATGAATTTCGTGAGTCTTCTCTTAAAAACAAATCGTTTCGGATGAAAATTGGATGGAATGAATCAAGTCATTTACGAATTCCGTAAAATATTTATGAATTGAACGGAAACACTCTCTGATGAAGTGCGAATTTCCTGGCTCGAGAAATAGTGCTTTTTGCATCAGGAGATGAGAAATTGATTATAAATACTAAAAGCTTCGAATGACGGACCAGTGAAGTATGCCTTAGGGACTTTCATATTGAATGAATGCAGTATTCATGCAAAGGAAAACGTCTAGACATTTCTTAAATATGTTCAATTAGTAATCAGTTCAAAAGATAGAAATAACCTCAACATCTTATTTTTGACTTATTCCAAAAAGAATATAATGTTTCATTTAGCATCATACTTATTTTCGACGGCGGAATGATTGATAATATTAAAGAGTTTCGACTCGGTGAATCTTGCACTAAGGACATTCATATTGAATGGATGCACTGATAGAAGCATTCAGTTGCTGTTAACGAGACTTCTTAACTTTTAATACCATTCGTTAATAGTTCACGAGTGGCATTAATAGTTCAGAAGCGTTATTATGAGTCACCAAATCCGTACACCGTGTCTATTAGTGTGCAGAATTCATGCGGGAGAAAACCTATAGATATTTCTGAATGGAATGACCGTTGCTTGCTGTCAATCGCAATCCTTAAAAAACAAAAACAAATATTTTTGTAAAAAAAACTGCGCCGAGGAAAATTTTTGTTTGATCCTTACTGAATAGTAGAAATTTTTGAAAAATACAAGGAAATGAAAATAAAACCAAGTCAGAAATGTCAAATGAATGATCATAGAGTACAATCAGATGGCTATGAAAAAATATTTCTAAATCGAATAAAGATTGGAAAAAATCAGAAGAAGCTGGATCAATGTCCTTGGTGCGGATCAGAATATGGGGGATTAGATAGATACTCAACAATTAGGTGGAAACCTCCGTGCCAAGGGCGGTATTGGTCCGGCTTCTTCTGATTTTTTCCAATCCTCATTCGATTTAAAATATGCTTCTCATAGACATCTGATTGTGCCCTATGGCCATTCATTTGAATTTCTGACTTGGCTTTTTTTTTTAAATGTCTACTGTTCAGTACGAATCAAAAAAAATTTTTCCTCGGTGCAGTTTTTCTTACAAAAACATTTGTTTTTGTTTTTTAAAGAGATTTTCCCATTTTTTCTCATAAAGGCCAAATGGTTATTCTCCTGATCTTTCATTTCTGCTTTCCGAAATGAAATAAAAACGATTTTTTATTCTTTTCCGCTCACGAAGCAGGAAGTTTTACTGAATTTAAATCCCATAACTTTCAAGAGTACATTTATCCGCGGAACCCGATTGAAAAATATCTGTGGAATTTATCATTCATGCTCCAAATTCAATTTGTAAATTCCCGGGCCGCCTCCTTGGTGCGTGAGACTGTCTTACACTGCTACCAACTCCGTAACAAAAAAATGATAGGAGATGATGTGAAACGGGAGAATGTGCATACGAACCCATTGCTATGCGCGTAATTTTTTAAATATTGATTCGAACAAGAAAATAGTCACATCAATGAGAACCTTGTGGCTGATTTATATGATGCAACTAACAGTATTTTTCATGTAACTTGTCACGGTTTTACTTTATTTAATGGGTATGATTCGGAGGTAATGGAGGGGTAGGTGCTCGCGTATAGATACACGACAGCGTTCGCCCAGTTTTGAGCAGTCACAGTCAAGACTTTTCTTTGGCCGATACGCTACCGTGTATCTCGATGAGTTTAATGTTGAAAAATAAGCTTATCTCCTCATTTGGGATTCGCCTCATCATTTCACGAATAATTCACACTCCATCCACCATCGAATAGCTTCATCCCGAAGAACACCAATTTCCTGAATTGCTCGAATAGGTATTCTATTCTTCTACGTTATAAAATTATTCTTGTGATATTACGGTCGTTTTCTCTCTGTGTGAACTAGAATGAGTCGGTGGCATCTGACTTATTCATATATCAAAAAGTCTCAACAAATCCGCAAGAAGTAATATACATTCCTTCATGCATTCTCTCATTCTTTCGTCATCTCCACCCTCAACAAAATGATGGAATCACAACAACCACTCCCCCCCCCGCGCCCTTAATAAAATAATTTCTATTTATTTTTGTTTCAGCTTTATCGCGAGGATGAGCCAGAGTGCTCAGAGTTGTGTCAGTGTGGTGAGGGTGAACTGCTCCTCTGTAATACAATTTGCGTCGAGTCGTCACCCTGCAAGACTGACTTTGCCTTTTACAACCATGCGGCACCAGCTTACCAGGCTTATCGTGGCCGGTGTTTGTGCTACAGCGGTCGTTTCATATGCATGCGGCCTTCCCCGGGTGAGTAGTAAGCTGTTCGTTCTCGCTTGGGTTAGCGCTACTCTAGGCCCTCAACTCCCCTCCTCCCCGCCCATTCCACTTCTTAGCTTCTCTGTAAACCTCACTCACTTCAGCCCACATTTTGTACACATACGAAATGAGGAGAATGGAGTAGAGGGAATGAACGAGTGGGTGGCTGGGTGGTGTTACGCGTGCCACGAATTTTGACTTTGGGACGTTTGAGCAATCGTCTTGCGAGACAACTCGCTGACTTGCTGCGAGTTATGTAATGTGTTTATGTTGAACTTTATTGTGTTTCCAAACAGAGTCTTACAGTATACCTCATGGGGTCTTCATGTTCCTTGGATACAGTGAGGAAGATGAAAATCTACTTAGGAGTCATAACAATCAGACTGTGCTGGACGCAGTCAACTCGCTCGATAGCTTCATGCGTGAAGAAGCGAAAAATCAGGTAATTGTGATTTTTTTCATCTTTGGGTGTGCTATGGAAACATTAGGTACTCGACAATATCGAGTTAAGGATGTCATGCATGTCCTTGAAAAATGATATCTTTCAATATTCATTACAAAAGTTGTTTTTTTCCGTCAGACAATTTTTTTTGTGTATTCTCAACATGTTTTTTTCTGAACATTCAATTAGATGCAGTAACAATTAAAAATTTTTTTAAGACCAAAAAATATTTTAACCATAATTGCATTTTCATGATCAAAATATACTGTTATCTCAAATGAAATTCCAAAATGTGAAATATGAAATAAATTCGACAGTCACTAATGGGCCAAAAGCTTATACAAAGCCAATAATATATTTACAGAGTTTTTTGATCTTAGTTTTTAAGATGTTTGTGTATATATGTAAATAATGACTATTTTCTTTAAATAAAAATCTTGTTGAACAAAAGAAAGCGCACTCGCCTGAACAGTGAAAAGTCATGAGCGTCGATATCCATTCAAGTTCAAATTCCGGGGATTTCAATTTGTTCCATTCCATTCTGTTTACAAGCTGAAAGGAAAAGGAAAACAACGTTTCTAAACTCTTTACACTTGCACCCATTATTTTAAAAAGTAGCACAAAAAATATGATTATACCTAATTTTCACCCTCTTACATTCACGTTTCAGACGGTATGTACTCTTTTCTTGTACAATATCACGAGGGAGAATGTAATTGCGGTGGCGAGACTCGGTGGGGATAATCCACTACCGAACAGCACTCAGGCGCAGAGTTTGCAGCATTTGCTACGTGTCAAAGTGAGTTAAAATTTTCTTTTTTATTGAAAATTGCAATTTATTGCAATGGAAGAACCTAAATATTTGGGAAATTATACGCCGCAAAGTGGATCCTTTGCATGTGAACATCCACAGAGATTTTTCGCTCTGTCTCAGAATTGTAAAAATTGGTCTCCCTGTTCTATCAATCGGTTTTGTTTCGATGAAAAATTTTCTTCATCATTATTCTGGTGAAAAATTCAAATTGAAACTTTCTCATGTATCAATAACAATAATTGAAATGTTCTATTATTGCTATAGTATTCTTTCCGCGAAGTTGACCGAATTCACTGGTCCGTTAATGCGTTTGCAAAGTAATTAATTTCCATTTTAAATCATCGACCATTCACATGTAAAATAACATCCATAAATCACGAGTATTATTTTTTACCCCAATACCGATAACCAAAAAAAGGAATATTTTATTATTCATTGAGGATACGGGTACTCTCATCCCTATCGTTCACCCTGCGATGATATTTCCCTTTTTATATTCGTTGATATTTTGGTACGAATGTATTTTTGAAAAGAAAAAAAACATCGTGGGACAATGGCAATCGGCGTGAAATTGTTTGTTTATGGAAATTCACGAGTAAAACTCCCACGCTTCACAGGTGCATGACGCAAACCACAATATATGAATAATAGTAAACGGTTGTCGCAGCGTTAAGCCCTCGGACTCTTTGTGACGGTATATTTTTTGAAAAACAAAAATTTGCCAACCAGCGGATTAAAGATCATGAATTTCAGTCTATGTGGAAATTCTAATAAATAATCTTCTATTGTATCATATCGCAGCAGGATTTATCCATGTGTTCAGAACAATGAAAATAAATGTCCACATTTTTTGAGATTATTGGCAATTTTTTTTAGACCAACTCGGAATGTGCGTTACTTGTGCATTACTTGTAAATTTTGTTCCATCGAAAAACAAGAATGGATTACGGGGAGCTTGTGTGGAGCTTATTATTTTTTTTTGTTTGTTAGACATTTATTGCAGTAAACTCCTATCATAGTCGCACTCATGGGGGAATAGGAGAAGCGAATTCGGAGAATACGACTGCATTTCGCTCTATACACCATGCGCTCACACGGGGGGAAATTTCTGTGAACTGGTAGCCATAAAATAAAAATACCAAGATTTTAATTTTAATTTTATTAGTTTATTGAATTTAACACTTTATTAAATAATTTTAATCATTACATCAACATTTCAATGCACATTTAATTAACTTATTTTTTTATAATCAACCGATTTTTTTATCAAGAAACTTTTTCTCTTGTCAAAGTGGTTCTGGTCTTCTAGTTTTAGTTGTAAGATTCACCGTGATTCTCTTTTACTAAACTTCTTTATCGGCAATATTGCTGTTAGTTTCTTTATTCTGATTCATTATCCAATTCACTTTATCCCAACAAAACGAGAACCTCTCTTCATATGTCAATATACAAGGAACTGAATTTCGTCATGTAATTCAGTAAATCATCAACTAAATTCAATACTTAAAAAATGCTTGGAAAAAAATTAGTTTTGATCGTAAAGGTGCTGAATTATTTGAAAATGGTGATCGTAAAAATCGAAAATATTTTCTTTTAAACACGATTTCGTAAGTTATTACACAATACGATAGTCAAGATGAGATTAAAATATGATAAGATAAGCTATCTCACATGAAGAAAAAAGTTTCCTGAAAAGGATCCTAGAAATCACGTAAAAATTATGATGTTTGACTTAATCGCGATGCATTACTACTACGTCGTAGAAACGACTCTCCTCCGCGTAAATTTTTATGGAGTGTCACGTACAAATTACGTTCCGATCTATAAAATTTCCAAAACCGGAGAGAGATAATTCACTATTGCTCCTCATTTTTCCGCGTTTTCTCGTAAAAATTTCCGAAAGAACGTTTCGCCTCACTTTTACGTTTTCTCACGTAAATTTTCCTGAATTTTTTTCTCCACCATACAATGAATGAATACCGTATCTCAGAAGAACATAGCTCTCACTTCACATGATGACTGTAGTGAATAATTTCTGTGTATCAGGAAGTTAGGGATAATTAGAAAATATTTCTCAGTGTCAGTCAAACATCACGAAATAGAATGATGACAAAAAATGTCACATTTACTTTTGAAAAGGGGAAAAACCAAAAATTAACATTTTAATTTGGAAAAATTGTTCTATGATTGTAAACATGTTCTCCTCGAAGGATTGGAACCTGATTTCTATATCGATTCAATATATTTCCCATCGTGACACTCAATACACTCAAGAAATTGCCAACTATACTATGCTCAGGCTCTCTACTCCATTCGGAAATTACTGCCTTGAGTTTTCTTACGAGTTGAAATCGATTTCTTATTCTTCCCGTTTATTTTCGGTTCTTTTTTTTCATCCTTTTTACCAAGTGTTCCGTGTACATAGGAACTACTTGGGGTGGTAGTTGCCGGCAACGACAGGTCTTTGAGAGCACACACTGCGGATTTATATCCAGAGCGTGACTCGATCGAAATCCCTTTTCCGGGTTGCGACCAGTTACGTGGGATTGTCCTACTAATTTGATTCGCTTACTCGGGTATACATGGAGAATTTTATTAATGAATTTCGTTCCGAGGGAATTGAGGCGATAATAAATTAGGGAGAAAACGAGGGATAGGAGGAAGTGGTGAAGTTGCAAGAATAGTAGAAATTCTGACTGAATCAGTGAGATTGGACATTTGCAACGGGATTTGCACTGCGAGTGCAGAGTACAATGCGAGATGGAGTTCACAGTAAACAATTCGGATACCAGATCGGTGTCCCAAAAAGGCCACACCAGGAACGGTGTAAACACCCGTAAAAAAGTCGTCCTGGATCAAACTGGAAAATCGGTCTGAAGATCCAATTTTCGTTTAATTATGATTTTTTTGACAAGACTGTGTCCAGAGCCATCGCTAATAACCTAGCTATTGACTCCTAGCTGGTGACGATAAAACTCAACAACAAACAAACGATAAAATTATCAACTCCGCTTTCGGTTTTAACGAACGGCTCGGTGTTAATTTCACTCTCCAATATGGCTCCTAACGACAACATATTTCACTCCGTACATCACGGAATTGAAATGGGGAAATTATAAAATGACTACACACTGGAAATCATAAATGGATCATTGAATCCTCACAATTTATTCATTTCTCTTCGATTCTCCCTGTGAATTTCCGTTGGGAATTTAGTGGATGAGTAGTCATATGTTGCCCTACTATCGAGCCAATTGTCGACAATAAGCGCCATATTTGTTGTTACTCAATTCCACTTGATTGTTCGCGACTATGGATGACCACGTATAACTAACACTCTCGATGGATTTGTCCATTGGCTTCAGTCCATAATCCGAGTAATGTTTTCACCTGAATCAACAGCACCGAAATTGAATCGACGAATTGCAGTCTATGTGTGAAGGGAGGTGGAGCGTCCCTTATATATAATATGAGCGTCAATCTTTTTCTTCAGGGAAAATACGTTTTTTACTCCTTTTTTGGGAGAATTAAAAGAGAAAATTATGTGGGAACTTCGATTTTTTTTAACGATGGTCTTTTCGGAGGATAAAAGGGATGAAATATTTTTACGGACGACGTGGCAAAGAGAGTGCGGATGATCAAAAGGAATGGAAGTACTGGAGGGATTACATTTCTTTTAGACCTTTTTACAATTTGAAAAGAATCGCATTTCTCGGAATTGAATTCTTCCTTTATTCGATTATTTATGGACAATAATTGAGAAGGTTTAATGACCTCGTGGCGTCCGTGTTTAGGAGAGAATTTGTTAAATCCTAATGTCGAGTTATAAAATGTTTCGGAAAATTTACATTTGAGATAAAAAAATTTTTTTAGGATGTCGATTTTTAGTGTGAAAATCCCCAGTAGATGTGTTCTTCAGTTGAGTTGTGAATGAAAATCTCTGAATGTACTTCAGATAGTCCATTTTTCTATGGGGAACCCAAATTTGGTTTTAAGGCTCTATCTCTCATAGTTTCCGAGATAATTGCGAAAAACGAAATCGCCAAAAAAAATTAATTCAATTTATCTTGTATAGGGTGTAGGAAGTGGAAAAACGCAATTCTGAGCTGTCCATCTGCCCACAGGGAAACCACATTTCCTCAGGAATCGAATGGAATTAGGTTTAAGGCTCTATCTCTCATAGATAATCGCGAAAAACGAAAGTACCAAAAAAAATTAATTCAATTCATCTTGTATAGGGTGTAGAAAGTGGAAAACTGCAATTCTGAGCCGTCCATTTTCCTATAGGGAACCCAAATTTCGTTTTAAGGCTCTATCTCTCATAGTTTCCGAGATAATCGCGAAAAACGAAATCACCAAAAAAAATTAATTTGATTCATCTTGTATAGGGTGTAGGGAGTGAAAAAATACGATTCTGAGCCGTCCATCTGCCTACAGGGAACCCAAATTTCTTCAGGAATCGAATGGAATAGGTTTTAAGGCTCTATCTCTCATAGTTTCCGAGATAATCGCGAAAAACGAAA